GCCAGCTTTCTGGCCAATCAGGAAGCCGGGGGCCGTGTAATGATGCGGCGCTCAGCTTCCTGATTGGCCGGCAAATCGACACCATGCTCCCTCACCATGAGGTTACGATGGAGCATGAAGCTGGCTTCCCGGCCAATAAGAAAGCCGAGTTTGCTGCCCGGCTTCCTGATACCGGAAGTATTGGGCTAGGCATCGGAGCATTTGGGTGAGCACGACTACTTGCCTAAATACTCGTACATCCCTAATTTTAAGGAACAATATAACACAATTGTCCCTTTTCTACAAACATTCACAGGGCCAGTGGCTACACCTCCTAGTGTATGTGTTAAAAAAAAAAACAAGCACTTGTTAGAGATGACATAGTTGATAATACCTAAATGCACAGTGTAACAAAGATGCTTTTATAAGTTCTATGAGAAATGGCCATTCTAGAATTAGAATGATTGCCTTTTAGCATAGTGTGCAAGTAAATTACTAAGTCTCCTCCTTTATCCTATGCCGGATTATAAATTGCACTATATGAAAACTTCTTCCAAGCAAATGTTACTATCAGAGGAAATGTCTGCTTTTATGCCAAGGGTTCTTGCATTTGTCTTTCATCATTTCCTTTCACCCATAACAAGTTCATCTCTTTAATCTAGCCCTCTTTTAGTCTGGGGTTCCACAGCTACCCCTTCCCCACATTGTTCATCTGTACATCATAAGTTGTTGCCTGTAAATTCTAAATGATCTCATCTCTGGTTACAGTTTTGTAATCAGCAAGTACTGGGAATAAAAATAATTAGTCTGCTTACTTTATGTTAATTTGTATTAAATATGTTATTTGTTAGAACTTAGTTGTAGGCAGATGCCCTACTAACATACATGGTCTGAACTCTTTTGTGAATAATGAGGTCAGTCAAGATTCCCATTTAAGTTTATATAACTCTTAACAATGAACTTATGTTATTTGTTCTGGTGAATTTATTGTTGTATCTGTTTAAAAACTCCAGGGAAATACCTGTTGATCTTGCCAGAAATGTCTTGAGCTGATAACTTCATGTACTCTTTACCTCTGCTGACTGTTATCAATTAGTATTGTTCACAGTTCTCTCTGTGGACTATAGAACCCCCCCCCCCCCCCGGTATTATGGAGAAAAGTGTTCTGTAGTCCTAACACACTTCCTGTCCTAGGGTGACAAGGCTGTTCCTCGATGGATACAGATACAGTATGGTGAGTGAGCATGGTCACCCTAGGGCAGGAAGTGCAGAGTATAATCAGATGATAATAACAGGAGAAAATCTGCAACAGGAACATGTACAGCAATAAAAAGTCACAGTGGCACTTTTATTTTTGTCTGTGTTGCCATTGGATACCCTTACTGCCTTTCTGGTGAGATTATATTCAGTGAGCAGGAAGTGAGGGTATATCTCTTGAATAGAGTCCCAGATAGCAGTACAACTTAGAAGAACCTCTAACCCTTCCTCACCCTTCCTAGGTGAAAGTTGCGAGAACCCTTACAGTAGTATTAAACTCTTAAACCTTTTTTCAGTAATGAATTCAGATCAAACAAATATACATGGCCCAGCAAAGTATTTCTTTACATTTTTGCCCAAACACTTACAGGGTTATTCACAAAGCTGCCAAAGGCAGCCGAGTGAATAACCGAGCTGAAAGACGTTCAGCTATCACTCCGGGTCAGTACGGCTGATTTTAACCGTTAATCGGCTGAAATCAGCCGTACATCAAAGTGCAGAGGGACGAAGTGCAGAAGGACTTTGACTCAGCCGATCCAACATCTGGATCAGCTGCGCTCACTCGCTGCTGTTCGCCCCTATCCGAGGTACTGAGCAGAATAGAAAATCAGTGAAAATAGTAGGAAAAAAAAAAGGTTGAAAAATATTTTTTCAATTTAAATAAATAGGAACATTACAAAATTAATAAAGATATTTTTAAAAAGAAAAACAATTAGGGGGAGCTAGCAGTGACAGCTAGCTCCGTCCAACTGTTTCCTATCGGCCGGAACTTGCTAGAGTCTCCTGGCCAATGAATAACAACTGGACGGAGCCAGCCAGCTGTCATTTTGGGAGGCAAACGGCCGGCCTTCATGTTCGCCCTGCTTCGTGTGAGCCACACGGCCACCTTCGGCTGCTGTACGAGCTATTGTGAATAGCCCGTACAGCAGCCCTTCGGTTCAGTCTAACCGAAGGGGTCCGGCAGCCGAGGATAGCCGAAGAATCAGCTGAAACTACGGCTGTATGCTTCGGCTCAATAGTGAATAACCCCCTTACAGTCCTCATGTTTCTGAACAGCTGGCTCCAACTCTCTTAGCTCGGCTTCCCTGAACTTCCTGTTCATTACAAGATCACAAAGGACCATACAGACTCCAGCAACTGTTCATCTACTAGCAGGGAGAAGGAAGGAGGCGGGGGAGAGGGGAGTGGCTTGCCTTGCTGTGTCTGTGTGATTGTGGACATACATACAGCTTGCTAGCAAACACAAGGGTAGCTCCATAGGAGCCTGCAAGGGAAATAAACCACCATATAACAGGATATCAGGGTCAGTGTTAAGGAAACCAGCTGATTCTGCCGGAAACTAAAAATTTTAAACATCAAGAAGCAGCATTCATTGTAAATGATTTCATCAGCATTTGAAATAGATTAAAAGCATTTTGCCTTTAATATCACTTTAAGTGTATAGAATGAGTTCTTGTTCTTCTGGTGCTGGAGTTACAAAACTACAACAGCCATCTTGTCAGTTACATTGAATACTACTGACAGAGCAGTTTCATAGTGCCCCCCTACTTATCCTGTATGAACAAAATGTGGCGGCTGAAACATTTATACATGAAAACAACTTAAAACTACAAAATCAAACAATTTGGATGTGCACTTTGTGTTGTATGAAAGTTGTTTCCATAAGTGAAGGTTTTAGCACTTTTGTTGTTTATTAGCACTGCACATTTTAAAGCCCTAGATGTTCATTTTGATTACATTTATATTCAAGATGTTTATTTAGGCACTTTTAACTTTTATTGGATTTTGCACTTTGAAGTTGTTTCCATATATGAATGTTTTAGTACTTTTTAATGTTAATTGGCACTACATATTTTAAAACACTGTATGTGTATTGTAATTGCATTTAGTACAGAAACCAATTTTACTCTGGTAGAGAATTGGCTGTAAATATTACTAGGCTAGGTGCAGAAAAATTGATTTATTTTGAAATATAGAGGCTGCCATGGCTGACCTCAAGACATTGCTCTTTGGTAGTTTCGGGCGTAAATACTTAAAAGTGCAGACCAGCAACAGGCATAATATGGGTTTGATTTACTAAGGCAGGAGAAAATGTTCACTAATCAAATCACATGTTTAGTAAGCAAGATACATTTTTGCTTGGTAAAAAAAAAAAAGTGAACCTGTGCTCACTTAAAGTAGTATTAAACTCTCAAATCTTTTTTCAGTAATGAATCCAGATCAAGCAAATATACATTGCCAGGTAAAGTATTTATTTAAATTTTTGCCCAAGCACTTACAGTCATCATATTTCCAAACAGCTCTGTAACTTCCTGTTCAGTACAAGATCACAATGAGCAGAGCAGACTCCAGCAACTGTTCATCTACTATCTCAGAAAAGAAAAAAGGAAGTGGGAGGAGCAGAGGAGCAGCTTGGCTTGTCGTGTCTGTGTGTTTGTGGAAACACAGCTTGCTAGCACACACAAGGGGGGCTCCATAGGACTCTGCAAGGAAAAGGAGCCACCCTAAAATAGGATATCAGGACCAGCTGATTCCACAGAAAAAAAAACCTTTAAACATTAAAGAGCAGAGTCCTTTGTAAGTGATGTATTCAGCATTTGAAACATCTCAAAAACTTTTGATTTTAATATGACTTTAAATTATTCAATGATCTGCAAGTTCAAATCTGTTATTTTTTCCTGCACTTTTTCAAAATGAACACAGTTTCACTTTTTTACCAAGCTTAGTCACTATTCCCTTTGGTAAATGACTATCCTCTACTCCTTTTGTAAATCAACCGAAGTGAAAGGTCAGATTTCCAGATTAACAGTATTTATTCTTGGTCAGTGATTTAGATATCATTAAAGCCAAAGAGTTAGCAAAAGAGCCAGGAAACTAGCCTCCCACCATATTCTAGGGACTAAGATGCAGGGTACACAGAGCAAAAGATGAATGCCAGGTTAACCTGACACTATATTTTCTGTCTGCACCGGACCGGAACGCCGGTCACGGATGTGCCACACATTCCTGTGCGGCTGATCACATTGCGGCCAGTGGCAGCGTGGCTGCAGTGCCATTGAGTTCAATGCACCGCTACGCCTCTTCCCGCCCCAAAACATAGTGAGCCGGCCGGAATGCGATCCAGTGTGTTCCGGCCACAATCGAGCTGGAACGCACTGAGGATGGTGTGTACTACCCATAATGAATCATTAAACCCTCGCATGTTTTACTAGCGAGCAGTAGATATATTCAAAAACACAAAAAGAACCAAATAGGTTTAAACTTACCTTTGTCTCCGCCGCGCACTCCCGTCCAAAGAACTGAAGATTCTCGGGTGGCCGCAAAGTATCATGGGGCGGGCACATGCGCAGTTCACATCTTCAGCAGGGAGAAGAGGAGAGACACAAGGTAAGTGAATACAGCAGCGTGCACCCGCACAGACTCCGTGGGACAGGAAGAGACAGGAGTCAGTGCTGGTTCAGAGAATGGCACCAGTGCTGGAGGGACTCCTGAAAACTACTGGAAAGAAGATGATTGGATCAAGAGGCATCACTTAAGGTAAGTCCGTAAACCAGCAGTGGGGGGGGGCATTTTTGACTTGGATGTCACTTTAAGGCCATTCAGTTGAGGTTTAAATGCTAAATGACCACAGTTACTTATCAGTGGGATGGAATGTAATAAAATAAAAGTTAAGTTAGGAATGCTGTACAGTTTATTCGGTAGAGTTTGAAAATGAGTGCATTAAATAACTGTATTCTCTTTTTCTCTCTTCTTCCTTTGTAAAGCAATGTCAATGATATGCACTCAGTCCTTGAAGTGACAGTTTATGATGAAGACCGAGACCGGAGTGCTGACTTCCTGGGCAAAGTTGCCATACCCTTACTGTCTGTAAGTCTCTTTCACCTGCCATACATCTCAATGTCTCCCTCAACCCATAAGGAAAAAAAAGTCTCTGTTCAATGTCACTCAGTTCTCAACCAAGATAAGAAATATTACACAGTCAGACGAAAATAAATAAATAAATAAATAAATAAATAGAATTTAACACCCTCGGTCCACGACCATGTTGAATCCCACGGTAGTTAATTTCTCCTGACAGGCTCCGAGCTGGTAATGAACAGGTACTTGTCAGAATTGCCACAGTTGTTTTGGGCTCCCTGTCAGTTTCAGCAGCTGGGGGTCAAAGGTGACCGGGGTAGTGTATTCAGTAGAGACTGTGAGACAGACGGCTGTCATGTCTTTCTTCCCACAGATTCAAAATGGTGAACAGAAAGCCTACGTCTTGAAAAACAAGCAACTGACAGGGCCAACAAAGGGGGTCATCTATCTTGAAATAGATGTGATTTTCAATGCTGTAAGTCTTAACTTTTCATTCTTTAAAAAAAAATATCAGCGCTGCTAAAGAGCTCTGTTTTTTAAAAGCTTTTGTTACGTATCTATAAAGTCTAGGACTGTTATCCTTCATTTTATTGAAACCACTGTGAAAGGGAAGAGACTGATACAGCCACGGCATGGCGCAGCCTCCCCGCCTATTGCTATGCAGCTGCTGTTACCAGCGGTGACACGGCTCCTGTTAAGTATGCATGCCTGCTGCCCTCCCTTGGTATTATACATTTATGTCCTTTATACGATTTGCTTTTGTGAATTCTCAATCAGGGTGCATGTGCCGGTCACAGATTACAATTAAGGCAGAAAAACTGGTCGTTTGTACAAGTTGTCTCCTAACTAACGTATATCATGTGCAGGTAAAAGCCAGCCTGGCTACGCTCATGCCAAAAGAACAGAAATACGTTGAAGAAGAACCCAGACTTTCTAAACAGGTAAATAAGCTGTGAGCATTTGACTTTGGTGTAACGGTAATTGCCACTCGCTCCTCTTCTTCATGGTTTTGTCAATAAAGTTTTGTTGAATTAAACAAAAAAGCAGTTGCAAACTCATGGCTCTCCCAAAGCAAATAATATTAACAAAACAAAATAATTTACCTAGCAACCAGTATGGCGTCTGTATAATTTTCTAATCTGCAGTAGAAGTGTGGCAGATAAAATAGACCTGATTCTTATGAGCTCCACTTTTTATAAATCACCTCCATTGTGTCATAAGCTCCCTACTTGTTATATGGTTCATTTTTCATGTTCATTACAATTCCCATTTTGGCATGCAAAAGTTTAAAAAATTACAATTAATTAGTTAAAATGTTGTGGACTGTTTAAAGAACAGCTATAAGAATGACTGTTTGGACCTTAACATATCAATAGCATTTCAAGATTTACAGAGCTTGCATCAGCATTGAGTTCTATTATTAAGGCCACTTTTTGCAAATGTTGTGTTAAAAAAAAATAACAATCAGAATGAGACAAAGCAATTCACGAGGGAGCAAGGCTTCCCAATACCACCCTGACAATGTACCTCAATCATAACTTAAATTATGCTTGTCTCAGACTGCGTAAATAACAGAATTGTATGGAAACATCTGATGCTAGGGGGTTGGGAGGTTGTCATAAGGACAAATATCCTCCTGGGAAGGTTTACAATAACTAGGATGATCTCACAGAGAAAACCAAAGTGCATAGAGACAGGCACACTCTGTGATATATTTGATCCTGAAACGTTTGCAGAATTGGGTGAAATATGTCATTTAGAGAGTCGAGTAATAAAAATGGCCTTTTTATGCTTTTTAGTCAGGATAAGTGAATATGGCTTTGGATATTGCAGTATGTTCTACAGGAGTTTTAATATATGTGTCCTATAAACAAACATACATATATATATATATATATTAATATGGTGTTTCATTAAAATTCTAATGTAGGTGAAAACAGCAAACTTTGGTCTCGGATTTCAAATACTTGACTACATTGTCAGAGAAAAAGTGGTTTCTAGCTGTATATGTGCATCCATTCAAACAGCGTTATTCAATAAAGAGTCCTTATTTTTAAAGTGCACCTGTGGCCAGACTATGGACATTAAAAGAGAACTATGGGTAAGTGTTTTCCGCCATAGTTCTCTTAAGGGACATAAACTAGCATCCTCCCGTGACCCAAAGCTTAGCATATTGCGAGCTATAGCTCGTGGTATACTGAGAAGGGGTGTATCTACTGCAAGGCAAACTAGGCATTTGCCTAGGGCGGCACTTTCCAGGGGGGCGCCAAAAAATGGTAGGTTATGCAAAATGTCTTAAACAGGAAGGGGTGGGACTAATTTAGATTAGGGGGGGTGCTCGAGTTTAATCTTGCCTAGGGCAGCACAAAACCGAAATACACTACTGATACTGAGTCCACCGCAGTGGGGACGGATCCCGACATTAATGTCGAGATTTAACCAGCTGCTTGAGTGACAGCTGGCTCTGCCTATCTAGAGGCAGAGCCAGATGTGCCTGCCCCCTCCCCCGTTCGTTCGGTCAGCGCTGGAGGATCGGAGCGGGGGGAAAACCCTGCGGGGAGCCGTGACTGACAGTCACGGCTCTCTGCAGGGACATGATCGAGAAGGGAGCGAGTGACGGTATGCGTTCGCTCACTCCCCGATCTATTGAGCCGACATGTGACATTTTCATTGTCACACCTCGGCTCGAACTATGAGGCTGAGTGATTTTCACTCACCTCATAGTTCTCCTTTAAATTATTTAGATATTCTTAACAAGCAGTAAAAGAGCTTTACAATACTGAACTCTCTAGCTGCTTGTACTAGGATGTCATTCATTTTCAAAGATCACAACAAAGGCTCTAAAATCAGTTATAGTCAGTTTATAAATGACTACTGGTTATGTACAATAGGACTGGCAGGGTGCCACAATTTTGGTGCAATAGAAAGTAATCAAAAAAGAGCTACAATTTATGTGCCTCTGTGAACTGTGAAGATTAATTTCTCCACAATGCCTATAGCTAGAGATGAATAGGGGCTTGTGTTAAAGTGCTTTTGCTGCTTTTTCAGAATATAAATATGCTTTACTGTGCATAGTGTAGGCATAGGTTCACATCAAAGGACATGAATCATGAAAAATACTGTATTCAAATATGTGAATGTTTTTAGTACTTTTAGCAAATAATCCACAACACTCACTGCTCAGATTCTGCATTCAGGTTCATATAATGAGGATCCTCTAGGTGCTGGCAAAAAGAGGCTTGCATCTACCTGTACAATATCAATCTAAGAAGAGCCACACTCAATATTACCTCAATATTACTTCCGTATGAATCCAAACTTTATTTCAGTCCATAAAACCACATACACCACATACATATTCCCATATCGCTCTTCTACACGTTTCACCCACAGGGCTTAATCATAGAGATAAGACTCTTTCATATGTCCAAGATAAAGAGACCAGCCCTCCTCCTTAATTGCATCCAAATGTGGAGAGGGCTGCACCATCATTAAATACTCACAACTCAATCCAATTTATGGGCACATGAATGTAGCAAGAGACACAAGATTTGTTATATATATATACACACACACACACACACATATACACACGCACAAAAATTGCTTTGCTTGCTTTAGCCTGTCACTGTTGTTATACTGAACAGCTTGGCCTGCATGTCATCACTAAATAGTGTATGTACACATTTGGTGAAAAAAGAGATTGTATGAATCTAAATTAGTGAACAGCCAGCTTAAACTTGTGAGTAAAACATGGAGGCTGCCATTGCTAACGTCTTCTTCTAAAATTCTAGACACCTGGCTATAATTCCGACATACTTGCTTCATTAGTTTGGCCTACCTGCCTGGAGCCAGCATGCCGATAAGGGCGTTTGACTAATATATATTGTTGAGTAAATTAAAGTAAAGTTCATTTAGTTATTTATTTTGGTCTTTGCTAAGAATTTGTAGAAGGTAGATTTCACTTTTTAGACTTCTGTAAATGCCCTCTAAGTATATTTATAGGAGTACTTACTTGCTTTTCACTATATCAGAGTTACACTTTTATAGGTACATTTGTGTTTTTTGTCTTGCTCTAACTGTCACATTTTACTCCACATCCTCTCATGCTGCATTATTTGCACAGCATGCCATCACATCCCAAATTGCTTTCCCTGCATGTTCATCAGCATTAATAAGATTTGCAACACAGAGATATTGCTAATATATTAATTATAAATGCTTTCCTGCTTTATGACATTGAGAGCGTTATAGAAGACACTTTTCTTGTCATAACTGTTTGGAAAGCATGAAATGGTTGTGCTTTATTAGTTTTTAGAATGCTGAGTACTGTGAAGATGTATTTTAGTTATTTACATGGAATAAGAATCTTGTATGAAATATCCTTGATGATTCAGCTCTATACAACCTTGTATATAAATGTGTTATGTGCACTCACTTTATGTTAATGTATACAGGAAGCACAGCACTTCATATGTATGATATAATTATACAAGAATGGGGCAAGGACATATTTCTCATCTTTGTCCTAATTAGTGATTATTGAATCTGGAAAATTCAGGCAATATTTTGATTTACCTAAATATTTTAGAGTTCTATTTAGGTCAGTAATTCAGGCAATCGTGATTCATTAACTTTAGATTCTCTGCATATCTGAATACATATACTATATTTATGCATGGTAAATGGCCTGACATGTAGATAAAATCCTTCCTCACTAGTCCTGATCACGTTATGACAAAACCCACCACAAACCTTCTCCTAGATCTGGGCAAAGCTAATATCCAGCACTGTGTAGTGAGGGGTTAGACAGTTTTCCATAGCGAATAATACAATGATCACTGTGTATATTACTGCTTAATCAGATATGTCATATCTTTTGCACATACTAGGATTGGTATGGGCAGCTTTCATAAACATGAATGACCAGAACAATTAGCATTTAGCAAGCATCGGTACACATTATCTGTTGATTGACGGTGCTCTGTATCTAAGACAATAAGGAGAGACAGTAAGGTTATAAGTCCCCGCACATTCAACACGTACGTACAGTTGTTCCATAGTACAAAAACGTGGAGCAAGGTTCCTCCTCAGGCCATAGCTCCTAATCACCTTCTGCAGCTGTTGATTGGAGCCATGTGGCCTTGCCAGAAGGCATGCCAACTTATTCCTAAACGTAGTCATTTAATGATTATTGGTATAATCAGGGTTTAGATGCCATGTACCAATGTCTGTTGATATTTTAGTTTATATAGGTACCACTCAAATTACCTTTACATAGATGCCTACATCTCTGTCCCACTGATGCTGTGTCCTAAAATCACAGCATCACCTATAGATCATGGCTGTGGGTGGGCAGTTCCCACACATTTAGGGGTGGGGCCATGCCAGAAAGTAGGCATGGTCTGGCTGTGACCCCATCCCATCACCAGCCACAACCAAGCCCACCACCTCTTGAAAATTGGACGTACCTATTAGGCCATGAGAGATGTTGACAGTGCAGGTGACGGTTGAGACAAACGATAACCAGGGGTGTTTGAGCAGTTGATACAACAGTTTTCTTTTCTAATTTAGATAATATAGATTATTATTATTATAAATTAGATTTAGATTATGTGAATAAAAAATTACTTCTCTAAGCACCTCTGGTGGTGTTATAGTATTTCCCAAATTCATGTTATCATTAAGAAAGGTATAGATGGAGGCATGTTAAGGAAATAAAATAAAAAATTATGGCAGGAAAGACTCTGTGGGGTTGATTTACTAACCTTATAAACGCACCACGAACATGTATACACCTCTGTAGTGTGTTCCCTCCCAGCATGATCTATGGGTGGAATCTAAACACCTTTGTAGTGTGTACACACCCAGCAGGTGTGTTGTGCAAAGCCCTGCATGAATTTGCAAGGTGATGTTGTGTAAATTAGCTCTATGTTGTGTT